AGAGAGAGAGAAAGGGAAAGTGAGAATGCAATCTGCAGGTTTGGGACTTGAACCTCGATCAACCAGGTGGAGTCCAGTGTCTTAGCTGCATGCTACCTGCCAGACTCTGTGCTTGTTTTTTGTTTTTCAGTTTTTTGTTGTGTGCATTCACCAGAGAGAGACAGAGACAGAGAGAGAAAGAGAGATCACCCCCAAGGGAGTATGGCCAGACCACATCCCTTTTCCTCCATTCTCCTCTCAGAATTTTGGGCATGCGTGCACACGCGCCCAGTGTGTTTTCCCCCTGCGGTTCTGGTATGCCCACATTGTTCAGTAGTTTCTTGGGTTCACTTGTGTCCTGGTGTCCTTGTCTGTCTCCTTCCCCATCCCTGACAGGTTAGAACTCCTGGAGGTCAGGGGCAGCTTCCGCTTTCTTTCTGTGGGCACGGGGCGCGGCATGAAGTGAGCAGGTACTGAAGGTCTGAATAAATACATGAATGAAGAGGCCTGTCCGGCCTGAGTTCGGATCCAGCTCACCACAGGCAGGCTGTGTGACCTCAAGCCTGGCTTCCCTGCAGCCCAGGTCTTCGGCTTAACGGGGAATTCTGTTGTGGTGGAGGACTTTGGCCCTGGGTGGACGTGCTGGTCCCGACCTGGGATAATCTCTCCCTTGAATATGACCTCAGGGCAGCTTCCATTTCCGCTGGCTGCACAATCCCATTAGGGCCCCTTGGGGATTTAGGCGGAGTCCCACCCTAAGCCCATCACTAACATATGGCATCCTGGCAGATGAGAATGAGCAGAGGTTGTAAACATGGGCTCCCTCATTCACTCGCGCCATTCAGCAACTGCTACCAGCCATGCTCTGGCCAGCCTGTCCCTGTCTCTGCAGTCCCGCCATTGAGTCAAACCCAGGCCCATCCCTGGAGGCCATGAACAGTCAGTGAGGTGGCGACTGGGACAGAGGACTGTGGGAGCCCAGAGAAGGGGCCTTCATTCAGCTTGGTGGTCAAGGAAGGCTTCCTGAAGGAAGAGACCCTTAAACTAATCTTAACAGAAGAGGTTGCTACAGTGGCAGGGGAGCAGGGCACTCAGGCAGTGGCTACCAGCAGGGGAGGGGGGCGATGCTGGGCTGGCTGCTGCTGTGTGCCGTCTAGTGATGAGAGGAGCGTGGCGGGATTATCTGCTCTTGTTTACGTGATTAAAACCACACAAATACTTCCTGTATCTGAAAGAATGAAAGGGCTTTGGGGAAAAATCCATTTGGCAGCAAAGCAAAGCACGAACATTTCCTTAATTAATCTCTAACCCACCCCTCACCCCAACGCACCCTCCACAACAGCCCCCAGAGGAGAAGCTCTGGGGCTGAACTCTCCCTGTGGGCAGAGAGGCTGGGTGGGGGCTGAGAGGAGAGAGACCCAAAGCCCCCTCCATACCACCTGCCTTAGGGGAGTCCAGGCCCAGGCCAGCACCTCTCAGAGCTGTATTAGAGTTCGGGGGGCCCAGGGCCCCTTTCACTTGGCGATATAGAGCTGGGACCCAGGTCACCAATGCCCAGCTCGGGGCTCTGACTCCCCTCATCCCTCACTCGTATTTCATTCAGCAAGCCTGCAGTCACCACCTGCTCGTGCTGGGCACTGGGGACCCACAGAGAAGGCAACACTGTCCCTTCTTCATGCGCCTTGAGAGACAGACAGTGACATCCAGGATCCTGAAAGAGGAGGCCTGGAATGGGCTCCTAAGCCTGGGGAGAGGCAGGTAGTAAAAAGACCAAGAGGTGATGCTGACCTTGGTCTTGGTTGGCCGGTAGGAGTTAGGTGAGTGAGGGGGCCTCCAAGAGGGCCTCAAGGGGAGCAAACAGCACACACAAAGGTCATAGTGTGACCCTGGCATGGCGGGCAGCAGAGCAGAGGTGCTGGAAGGATCCTCAGGACTGGCCACTGGGAGAAAGACACCCTGGAGCACCGGGAGGGTGCTGTGCATGCTGGGAGGGCCCAGGGTGGACACGCCCGAGTGCTGGCCAGGCCCAGGGCTCCCCACACAGACTCTGACTCTCCTCACCCTCCCAGCTTGATGTCCGGCCTCGCTTCTCTGGATGCCAAGACCTCCAGCCGCCTGGGCATCCTCACCGTGTCGTACTACCTATGGACCACCTTCGTGGCTGTCATCGTGGGCATCATCATGGTCTCCGCCATCCACCCGGGTGGGGCGGCCCAGAAGGAGACACTGGAGCAGAACGGGAAGCCCATCATGAGCTCAGCTGATGCCCTGCTGGACCTCATCCGGTAATGCCCACCACCCATACCCACTCGGGAATGCCGTGCCCGGCTGGGGGGCATGGGCTTCACAGGCCCAGCCCTGTTCCACAGAGCCCCACGGGGCTACCAGAGGACAAGATAGGGCATGGGGCGGGGAGGACACGAGGTCGTGCAGAGGCCATGATCAACCTAGTGGACTGAAGCCGGTGACACGGTCTCTGCTTCCACGGGACACCCGTGGGCTCACACTGTGTCGTCTGCCCACCAGGCGGGGGCACCTGGAGGGCAGGACAGGGTCTGCCCCTCTGCCTGGTACGGAGCAGGTATCAATGAGTGTTCTCAGGAGCGGCTGTGCCCTCCTGGCCTCTGAGGTGGGAGCAGTTATTGGTCCCGTTTTTATAGGTGAGGAAATAAAGCTCAAGGAGGTGACATGGCTTTTCCAGGGTCATCCGGCAGCCGGGTCCTGCAGCCAGGAGTCAGCCCTGGCCTGTCTGACAGGGCAGGACAGGGCCTGTGCCTAAGGAGCAACTCCTGTCGTATGGCAGCCAGTTTCAGGGACCTGGGCCCACTTCCCCAAGAAAGTGCCAGACACGCGGCCTATACGTCTTCCTCCAAGCCCATCCCCAAGACACCCTGCCAGTCACCTCTCCTGTCCTTCAAGCCTCCCCGTCACCAGTGCCTGTGCCAGGCCTGGACCAGGAAACACAGACATGGCCCTTGCTCTGGACAAGCGGTCAGAGTCCTGTAGGAGAGAAGGACCCAGGAACAGACAGGCAAGGTGAGGGTGCAGAGCCCAGAAGCCTGAGCTGAGAGGGTGGAGGGGAGGAGCCATCACCCACTCGGTGTGGCTGGAGCAGCAGGTGTGAGGAGGGCAGTGGGAATTGGTGCTGGAGAATTCGGCTGGGGCCAGACCAGCCATTGTGAACCAGGCCAGAGGCTGTGCTTGTCCCGAAGGCTGTGGGGAGTGGGTCTTCACAGAGGAGTGCCACGATCGATTCAGACGGCTCGTCTGGTGGCCAGTGGCGTGGATCGGAGTGGGAGGGAAGAGAAGTGGAGGACAGAGCCGGGGCCAGGGCCAGGGCAAGGGCCCACAGATGGAGTGGAGGCAGGCTGCAGGGCTACACAGGCGACACCTCAGCAGGAGGCGAGAGTGCCACGAGAGTGGAGGAGGGGGATGCTGATCATTCACACGAAGTTTTCAGGTCTGAGTAGACGGTGGTATCATCACCCAGCCATGGATGGAGCCAGAGCAGAGAATGACAGATCTGAACCTTGTGAGAGAGTCTGAGCTGGAGATGAAGGTTAGGAAGTCACCGCAATAGAGGCACGACCCTAAGGGCGGAGGGGGCCCGCTCAGGACAGCGTGAGACAGCGTGAGTGCAGTCAGCCAGCGCTGGGACAGCCTGGAACGGCACCACCCTGGAAATGGCCTGCTGGCCTCGATGGGCTACCCCATTAGACTCGCTCTGGGGACCCATTCTAGTTCCTCCCATTGTCTAGTAGTCATTTTCAGATACAGGAAGTCCAGTCCTGACTAGTCTTAAAGCTTCGGATTTGCCTGATAGAAGACTAGTCCTGTCTTAGCCTTCTGGATCTGCTTCAGACTTGGAAACTGCAGTGGGGAGAGAGTGGTGGGGAATCTGTTTCTCTTTCTTCTCACCTGCCCCCCTGCTGCTAGCCCCAGGGTTGGAGCAGTAGGACGAGAGGCAGGGAGAGGCCGGGAGGTCCTCTTTCCTTAGAGACAGGGTGAGCTGGAGGACTGCTTGCCAGCTCCGTTTTTTAGGGATGCTCTCATTGGCTCCTTGGAGCCCCTCCTGTCACTGGTTTCTCTCCCCTTGACTCAGGTGATCTTTGTTCCATCTGGCTGCTTGCAATGCCCTCCGCAGGCCTGGCCTCTGGTCACCTCCTCTGCTAGAGTCACTTCACCCCTCTTTGGACAGAGTCCAGGTTCTACCAGGTCCACATCTGGCCCATGGGAAGTATATGGGAACACATCCTGGCTGGAAGTGCAGGCCTTTCCCAGGGCCTTTGGATATGGGTCAGGCACTCGCCCCTACATTCTTTAAATCCTAGGGGACACAAGCCAAGGCCTCTGAGTAGTTCTCTTGGCTTAAAGTTAAGGAGAAACATTCCTCTCCTTCCTGGCCCCCAGGGATAGATACCCAGCACACAGCATCCCTCCTTCTCTCTAAAGAAATTTTTTTGCTCTGTATCAATTAGTTACTGCTGCATAACAAACCATCCCAAGACTTAATGGTTTAAAATGACAACCACAAGTCAACAGGTCAACTAGAAGCTTCAGCTGATTTGGACGGAGCTCACTTGTGTGTCTGCATGCAGCTAGTGGCTCAGCTGGAGAACAGCTGGTCTCGGGAAGGCCCAGCTGTGAGCCTTGGGTATTTATAGCCCAGCAGGCCAGCCTGGATTCACTACATGGTAAGGTCTAGCCTGGGCATTTTCTTAAGATGAAGGAGCAAGACAGGAAATAGAAACTTGCAAGTGTTTTTCCACAAGTCCACTAACATTGTCTCGGCCAGAGGAAGACGTGTGGCTGACCCAGACTCGGTGGGCAGGAACCACAGTGCCATGAGACAGAGAGAGTCCTGGAATCGGGGCCATCATTGTAATCAAGCTGCCATTCTCTCCGGGTTCTCTTCAATGCTTTAAGCGTGTGATGAACCATGGATCCTAAGAATGCTTGTGATTTTGTTCCTGCTATATGGGTCTCTCCTAAGGGTCTGTTCCGTCCACACTTACTCCACGTGGCTACTTCATCCAATACCACGGCTTAGAATTCCTCTGCACGTGGGCACTTAAAACAAAACCAAGCTTTGTTCCCAGCCTGGAAACCTCTCCCCTGAATTCCAGACTCTCACACACAGTTGTCTAAAGGCATCTCGACATTCCACATCTGAGCTAAACTTGATGTTCCTTATAATTCTGCTCTTTTCTCAGCCCCTGGTCTGATGTCTCTCATATCCTGCAGCCAGTTCCTCAGCAAATCTCTTCAGCTCCACCTTCAAATCGTATCCCAAATGGAGGCCCTCTGTCCCCCTCTGCCCCTTACACCATCTTCTCCCACTCGAGTGTCGGTCTTCTCTCTGCTCCCCTACGATCCGTTCTCATCACGGCGGTCACTGGGTCCTCCCTGAAACCAGCACACACTCCTCGCGCTGTGACCACATCAGAGTGCTCGCTGCCTCACAGGCTGTGACTGCCACTGCTCACTCAGCCCCGACTTCTCGTCGGTCCCCACTGCAGCCACTCTGGCCTCCTGTGCAGGGGTCACTGCTGTGTCTGGAGCGCCTTCCTGCAGAGAGCACCTGGCACCTCCCGTCACTGCAGTTAGGGCTCTGCCCGGTGCCTCCTCCTCAGAGGGGCCTCCCAGGCTCTCTCTCTCTTATCTCCTCTTGGTGCACTTCTCCACTCTCCTCCACTTTTTCGTCCACTTTATCACTACCTTACGTATTTCTTTCCTTCTTTTTCTTGCACCCTCGCAGGAGTATAATATTCTCCCTGAGGACTAGATTTTTTTTTTAATTTCTTCTTTTTCTTCTTCTTCAATTTGACCAGAGAGAGACAAAGAGAAAGAGCGAGAAAGCAAGCCCCCAAGTCCAGGACTTGAATGGTGGCCGGCCATGTGAGAATCCAGCGCCTTAACTACCATGCCAACTGCTGGCCCCTCTTTTTATTTTTGTTAAGAATTATTTTATTTTGGGACCAGCAGTTAGTGTAATGGCTATGTCTCTGGACTCCCCTAGGGAGTGATTTCTCGCTTTCTGTCTCTCTGTATCTCTGTCTGTCTGGCGAGCGCACGTGCCCTATAGCAAAAAGAAAAACCTCTCAAAAAAAAAAAAGGAATTATTTTATTTTATGGATTATTATTATTATTATTATTATTAATTTTTTAAAAATTTGACCAGTGAGAGAGAGAAAGTGAGAAAGCAAGCTGCCAGCTCTGGGACTCGAACCATGGACAGCCTGTGGGGTCCACCACTTTAAGCACCATGCTATGTGCTGGCCCAAGGGCCAGATGTTTAAACACCTTCTCCCTGCCAAATTTTGGAGCTAGATTAGCACCTGGCAGAGTGGGGACTCCGTGCTTGCCGGATCCACACGGGGGATGAGGCTTATTGGAGGGTGGAGTCTGAAGTCCTGGGAGGAGCTGGAATGGTCTATGGAGAATGTGCCCAGCAGGTGGCCCTGGATGGGCCTTGGTCCACAGTCACATTGGAATCTGGGCAGAGTTTGGAGCAGGAGCCAGCAGAGTGGTGAAAGGAAAACTGAGAGAGCAAATCTCCTGGAGCCCGTCAAAGGGGAATTTTGAGAAACCTCATTTCTAAGACCCGTTATTTCTAGGATTTGGTGACTATGATTCATCATTTCTTGGAGCCCATGATTCAAAGCAGACTTTCCACGTGGTGGAAGGAGTTGGTGCCCAGGGAGCCCTGCTGCAGCCTCCCCACCACAGCCTCCCCCTGCTCAGGGGCTGGGGGTTCGGCGTCAAACGTTCCAGAGACTTCCTGGCCTCAGTGGAAATCCAGGCTCCTCCTCCCACTCCACCTCAGAAGTGCCTCTCAGCCCTACCCTGCCCCCAAGCTTTTACAAAAAGCCAAGTGATTGGTCATTTTTCTGTCAGAGTGGGGGGAATCTGCAGGAGAGATTGCACACTTCTTGGGGTGACAGGGAACAAGAACTTAGGACACCCGCACCCCTCACCTGAGCTCTGCCGATAAGTCCCTGCGTGACCCTGCACAGGCCAGCCTCCCTCTCAGGCCTCAGTTTCCCCTGTGATTTTCAAGGTCCCTTCTAGCTCTATGGTGCTGAAACACAAAGGCCTACCTGCCAGTGAGGAGGCTGCAGGGTGTGAGCAGAAACTTCTGGAGGTGGCTCCTGGGAAGCAGGAACAGGGCAGAGCCCAAGCCCAAAGACCATGAGTGCAATTGGCAAGCTGCTAGGTGTGAGAAGAGCAGAGTGGATGCAGATGCGACTGGAGGCCTAGGGTGGCCTGGGGGAGGGTGGGCAGC